AATAATATAATAATTATAAAAAAAAATCTACCCAAACAATTTAAAAACTTACCGAGGTATTAAAATAATCACCCTGTATATTTCCGATATGTATAATTCCATTTTTATATTCGACTATAAGCAGTATGTCGCCCTCTAGTGGGACTGTGTGCTGCTAATAAAGTTAAATTTAAAACAAAATATTTAATTATCTATAAGCAACTGTATATTCTGTTATAATAGAATATTAAACGCTCTATGTGGGGGTGGATACCGCTATATATTTGTATATTTTATGAAATGATATGATACAGAAATGATATTAGGCAACCCAAACTACATCGTCGCAAAAAGGTAATCGAACAATTTCACGCTTTTTTCGTCTTTTGGCGAAATACCAATTTATTTTTAAAAACATTATTTCTTTTATAATAATTGGATTATTTTAGTCACATTGTATCTTATGGCCGTACTTATATAATAAAATAGTCGTGTTTTGTTAATTCTTAAGAGATATGTGATAGGATAGTATAAGCCAATAATAACTCTTTTTTTTTCTCTTAAAAAAATTAAACAGCGATTTTAAAAAACTACTTGTTTACGTACATCGTCGTAAGATTTTTTTTGTTAGATCAATAACTCTTTTTAAAGTAGTTATTATCAATTGTTATCAGACTTTTACTTTTACGCTCAATATTTTTTATGTAAGAGGTATTTATAATATGAATTATGCGCAAATTCAAAGAAAACTTCACAATATTATTCACTTTCTCTCTCAAGGTAACTATACATCAAGGTATCATTTCCATATAAAAATGTATCTATTAGTTGTTGATTTAAATAAAATAATAATAAGGTAATAACAATTCGTTATGTGCGGACCCACTTCAATTTTGATACGATTATTATTCTCTCCTGATAGGTAATAAATATAGATTGTAAAAATTATTTTTTATCAAACGGAGCAGATATTTTTGGTAAAATAAACAAAAAAAAAATAGGTATGTGGTAAATTAATAAATTATAAAAACACGTCCAAATCACGATTATTTATACATATGAACACATGTTCATGAGTGTATAAATTTAATTGCAAGTCCATAAAATTAATAGTTTACAGATACACGCATGCATGCATGCATGCATGCAATAGCAACGAATTGTAAAAGTACAGAAAAAAAACGAGTTTACATTCTCCCATTTAGCAATTAAACACACACCTTCTTTCGGATCGATGTTGTTTATATTCGTTGTATGACTGTGCGATCGGAATGACGGGGCTTGGCGATGACGTATCATTGCCTGGACACGCTCCGTGACGTAAGCATCACGGTCGCAGCCGCAGCTATCAGCCCCTGTACACGTGAACGACACGAGAGTGATCACGCGTTGACCGAGTGATTATTTCGATCGGATTGGTGCGCGCAGACGAGCCCCCAACTATCATTGGACGGTTCGTGGGAGAGATGCGACCACATACCCCATGTGGTAGCAATAACATCAAGAGCGCCAGTTTACAAAGATTTCATTCTTCACTAAATTTCGTGGCGAAAAGTCGTGCAAAAATAAAAAGAGAAAATGAACAGCCAGTCGACAATTCATCTGCTACTTTCACCACCCTCTACACCACCGCCTTCAGATGTAAGTATTTTTTTACCCCTTTTTAAACTTTCTGTTTAACTAGTTTACATGGATAGAAAAGAATGATTTTATTAATTGTTTTTTTTTTTTGTTTTTACAGTCTGAAGAACCAAACAAAGACCTGGTCCTTCAAACGGATGGCCTTAAGAAGAGACACTTATCAGTTCCGGGAACCATCACGCCCCAGACTTCAGATTCAGAATGCGACGAATTGGATTTTCCCCTGAAGAAACGGGTGTGCAGATGGGAGAACGAGTCAACACCGATACCAATCCCATCGGTGGCAAATACTCCGCCCCCCGAGCAAACTCGCTCATTTTCCGTAATTATGAAAGCGAACAAAGACGGAACGTGCTCACCAACTCCCCTGAGGGTCCTCACAGAGGAGCCCAACATCCTCAAAATGCTCAAATTTAAAATGTGTAACCGAAAAGAACAAGTGTTCATAAACACCAAGGACAAATGCAGGAATAACGCCATCTCTTGTAATCCTCTTCCCTTATCAAATTGGACAGACGTGTCTCACAGTCAGAAAGTTCCGGTCATCCCGTCATCTCCAAAACCAGTTCAAAAGCCACCAGTCGTACCACTGCCTCCGTTAGCCCCGAAACTTCATCTTTCGAGTCAACCTCCCCGGGCCGTTTTCGTGTCCGCTGACGGCGCCACGTTGATACCGGCCCAGTTCGTTTTCGTCGCACCCCAACAGCCTGCCCCTGTACAAGCGGAACGGCGAAGGGTGTACGAATGCCCTTACGAGGGCTGCGGCAAAAACTATTTCAAATCGTCACACCTGAAAGCTCACAATCGTACGCATACGGGCGAGAGGCCGTTTGTGTGTCAGTGGGAGCAGTGCGGAAGGCGATTTTCACGTTCCGACGAACTTTCGAGACACAAAAGGACGCACACTGGCGAAAAAAAGTTCAAGTGTGAAGTTTGCCAGAGGAGGTTCATGAGGTCGGATCATCTGGCCAAACACGTGAAACGGCACATCAAAGATAAAACCCAGCAGCAGCAACAGATCGTTGCCGCGTCCGTTTCCGCGAAAAACGGAATTACCAGCGCATCGCTCAGGCCACTGCAGCCGGCATTGCCGCAAACGGCCGCGTAAAACACTTGTAAATATTATAAAAGGCTTCGTTACATACTAACAATATAATCTTAACGAATCGAGGAGGGTCAAGTCAACACTCGAAACATATTATTATTGAATTAGAGAATATGCTCACAACATAAATACGTATGTGAACATTGTAGATCATTCCAAATTACCCTCTACTTGTCTGTGATTTATTTCTAGTGTAATAATCGTCGTATTTATTTTACAATGTAGTACCTAACTCTTATGCCGTTTTGTATAATGGCGCTTCTTGTACAAATTTCAATGTTTTTATTTTTTAATATAAAATTGAAAAGCTGAATGTTGCTTTTGTTATTATTCATCGTCTGGTAGAATTAAATGCCTCGGTCGCAGCTTTGTTTACAACGAATTTTACAGTCCCAGAGCTTCAAGTATATTCAAGGTAAAACAGCCGTAAACAAATAAGTGGGCTGCGTACTGTAGCAATACGATTGTGTGTGTGTATAAGTCATTATGTACATGTATAATAACATATGGCCGGGATCCTTTTCTATATACAATTAATAAATACGTATATACATACAATTCTGTGGTACGCTGAAGACTGATTACGAATGTCGCATCTACTGTGCTAGTTATTGTTGATATAATTTAGATAACAGAAAAATGTAAACAAACAACATGTACATAGTATATATATCTTTCACTTTATATTTACAAATCATTTTAAAAATGTTGTCTAAAAATGGCCTTTTAGACTGACTTGCACTGAGAATTCGCTTTTTGAAAGTTTTTCAAAATTACGTAAGTAAGGTACCTATTAGTACACCTATAGAAAGACGATAAGAAACCACATAACGACGATATTGTAATGCATTTTATCATTGTATTTTTTCTTTGAGTTACTAGTCTACTATAATGGCTTTTAATGTTAGTTACGTGACTTTAAGCATACACTCGTTTTTGTTCATGATAAGTAATTTACCTGAAAAAGTTGTTTTCAAGATCAGCAATTTATAAATGCACAATAATCACCGTCAGGTTTGAATACTAAAAAAATTGTCGATTGTATCCCTATTGTAGGAGCCACACCTCTTGTACGTTCAGCGTTCTGATAAGGAATATTTTAACTGAAACATTAAGATCCTAAACATCAAATAGTGTTCGGTAAGTTACGTGGGATTAGGGTTGCCATCTCTAAAATTTGGAAACTAGGACAAGACGCATGAAAACCCCGGATTTTAGAGTCCAGAACCCGGACATGTCAACAGGTTTTTTTTAAACATAATCAGTGTAACCAAAAACAGTTGAAAATGTCATAAATCGCCCTTTTATTTATTTTCAGACCTTAAAATTAAATTTAGTCATTCTTTATCATCATTTTCAAGGTACCTAACAAAACAGAATCTTATTACAGTTTGTTACAAATTGTTTTAATAATCAGTTAGATTTTTTTTACGTGTGTGGCGGGCGGCCCAAGACTTTAAATATTTAAACCAGGACTACAAATGAAGCCCCCCCCGGACGCTCCCCGGATGCCCACTAAACTAGGACAAATCCGGGGAAACCCGGACGGATGGCAACCCTACATGGGATAAGGTTAAGTTACGGTAGGAAAAGACAATACCAAGAAAGTGAGCGTATATCGCAGTACATACATTTAAAATTTGTGCAATGTTGTTTCCCCTAAGATTATTAGATTACTGTTTCAATCGCTATTCAATAGCTCATGACCTCAAACTATAATCTACGCTAAAATTCCCTTGTGACATTTCGATCGCTTCGTTTCAAAATCATTAATAAAAGGTCCAGCAAGTACCTTGTTAAACAGATAGTTTTTAGATAATTGTCCTTGCGATTCCTTATTAAAAAACAATTTCCAAATCGTGTTATTTTGGCTTTATTATATACATTTTAAAATCGGATTGTGTTTAATTAAATTTTGCAAAACTCTCCCGTTAGCGTTTGTTAATATTTACGCACAAGTTTAATCGGTTTTGATAAACTAATTGTTAACGTCATTTGCAAATATGATAACTTACCATATGGCATGTAACTGCAGTATATGTACGTAATATACTACATTCTAACAAAATGTGTTCTGAACAATTGCATCTTTCATCTCTGTTTATATAAAAGTTATATTCAAATTTAAATGATAAGTATTACTTTTACGTTAGGCATTTAACAGTACCTAGGCTAATTTTTTAATTTTTGCAGTGAATATTGCATTTTTAAGATACGCGAAAAAAATCCTAGAATATGTACGTTCTACGAGATATTTTAGTGTGGTAATATTAACATTTATTTAAAATAATAATTATATCTGTCTGTCGGTACGAGCTAATACCTTTTTAATCGTTTACTGGCTATTAAACATTTAGTTTATTGACGTCTTTTTACAGATAAATGTATAAAATGTAAATGTGTTACTCTCTTCACATCACAACAAGCAAATTACGTCGCACCGGGTCAAAAAATAGAATATACACTCAACTTCCGCAAATACACACACATGTAGATAACTTAATTAGAGGGAAGAATGAAAACATCAACAGTCATACGCAGTATAAACACTGTATACATACACGGTTATAATTATTGTTTAATGTAGTGATAATAAATGAAAAACGGTTATTTCTGTCCTAAGATTCTTATAGAAATACCCCTCAGAATTATTTAGTAACGGAAAAAGTAAAGCTACCCATTTAAGTAAACGTTGGTAAATTAAGATTACCTATTTCTTATTGAACTTAAGCAACGTTAAATTTTCTAAAATTTGGTGAAAATCATATTTAAATCGGTTAAGAAACAACCGAGGTACCCCTCTTTAAATATTAAGTAATTGTAATGTAGTAACTGGCGCCTACCATTCATTACTTCCGCATTCTTTTAAGGACACCTGCACTACTTGACCTAGTTTTTAAGCATGGCCGCCAGCGTATCAGCCAATCAGATGCATCGAGCCGACTGGAGTCTGTTTATAAGAATGAAACCAGTATCCCTCAATTAGTAACCCCCGGTGCTACTGTGGGTAGTACTTCGTTGTATCAAATTTCGGTTACTATTACGCAAAAATCTATATAAACTACACCGTTTCATTAGTAATAAAATCTATTTCAAATTAAATAAAGTAAAACAAATCAGGTAAACACAAAATGGTATCATTCATCTTTCATTTATATATAAAATGTAAAGATTCGTCATAATGCTTACAAATCACTAAAAGATTATAGTATTTAGATTATAATAGGCATGACAATAAACAACCAATTACTATTGTTGGTAAAACTTTTAATTTTTCAAATTTGCAAATCGATTTGTCAATATGTCAATGTCTAATCAATAATAACTTATTTATTATTAATATTTTTTGTTCAATTTTGCCTATAATATTTACACATCTATGTATGAAATAAATATAAAGAAGGTTGTGGTGTAATGATAAACAAAAAGGAAAGGTCTTACCCCATTTAACCAACTTGTGGTTAGTTGGGGTAAGATCTTTCCTTTTTGTTTAACTTCCATGTATATGGAATATTGTTTAACGCATTTTTTTATTAAGAAGTTATGTTTACGCATTTTCACGCCAGCTTAGAGTATTTTTAATTAAATTGCCCCAGAATCGCCAGAAAAATGTTCATTCGATCAAAATAAACGCTAAATTAACGGCTTCGTGTGTTGTTTTGTCAGTAGAATTTATATTTGAACTCGGCGAGATTCCCGGTGCAAAGTACATTGGGTCTCTTTCTATACGTTGGCATAATGCCACCTACTCGCTTGCTGGGGTCACAACTTCCTGAATGACAAGTCGAGCGGGGAAACCTTTGGACCCATTGGAATTGCTTCGTTTAAATATAAATTTGTTTTTCACAACTTGAAGATTATCATCAAAATTACATTACAACCAATAAAACGCAAGGTTTGCCATGCGTATATATTTGTTTATAAGAAAATTTATTAGACTTGTATAATGTATATATTTGTTGTTTAAATATTTCACCACATTATTGTATTATGTACAGCAAAAACATGCCATTGTATGCTGGGCGCGTCATAACTTAATGGGGTAGTTGCAAGAAGATTGTTGCAGAAATATGTAGAGGGGTTAGTCCCTGATCAGTGGGAGTAGAGACGTTTTCCCTATTTTATGGTTAGTTTTCCCGCAAGGGACGTCAACGTTTTCCAAAGTTTTTCTTCAATTTTCAATATACTATTCGATTTTTAATGATAATTTTTTATTTTCATATTGTTATTAAGTACGTTAAGGTTTTTAAGAATCGGCTTCTCTCAATCATCAAAAATTAGTTAATCAATCAATATTGGCGAACATTGACGCTCTCTAGCGGAAAAACTGGTCGTGGAATCGAAAAGGGTTCACGGAAACACTACTTAAACAATCTTAAATTACAATTTCAAACAACATAACTACGTTTATGCTGTCTTTTGCTACCTTAATTTTTTGATCCTAATCTAACCGTCTTTTTTGCTGTTTTTGATGATATAAGATTGAGTACCGCAGTGGTGTTAATAGTTCTGCTTAAAAACTCGACTCTGCACCTGATATTACCGAAGAAAATTAAAGAAAATTCGAATTAAATTTATAAAATAAAACCCGCATCCAATTCTCGAGTTAGAAAAAACATTGAAATGAATGTAAAACGATATGTAAGTCAAGGGAACGACAAAATATTCAAGTTAGAGAAGTTTCAGTAACAGAAGTTTGACTGTACTACTAATGCGATAATTTACAGATTTGTGTTTATTTTCTGTTTTGTTCGTGTTTTTGCACCTTTCCTAGTTGTTAATTTATTTCACGTCGGTATTTGTTTACGATTGAAATGAATCTATTAAAAATCATTTTATCCATACAACTGGAAATTAAAATTTCAAAAACGTATTTTTAAACAAAGGTGCTTCATTAGTCATTTAACTGAACTTTGTTCATTGCAGCAAACATTCGTGTTGATAATGGTATATTAGAAAGTCAATATGTCCGCTAATTTTGTAACGCATTGTTCTTTCTTCTTTCGGGAAAAAATAATAAACAATTATGGAATTTCTGCGTCGCACATTGTCTCATTGTCAGAATTAATGGCATAAGCTTTAAAAAGCGTTTAGAATAAAATGCGTTTTGTATAAATGGAATCAACAACATGTGCTTATCAAATAGAACTGGTAAATAAAAACATGAAAGGCTACATTCTGATTTCATGGTATTTCTCACGTATCGATTCACTGATTTTTTTTTTTTTGAATAGGCGATACTTTACATTTTTTAAAAGTAAATTAATGTGAAAAATGTAGTGTTCTTAAGGTAGTTCAGTGAAAAATGCAGTT